TACTAGGAACAAGAAGCTAGTAGTAACAAGTGCCTTACTACTAGGAAAAAGAAGCTAGTAGTAACAAGTGCCTTACTACTAGGAACAAGAAGCTAGTAGTAACAAGTGCCTTACTACTAGGAACAAGAAGCTAGTAGTAACAAGTGCCTTACTACTAGGAACAAGAAGCTAGTAGTAACAAGTGCCTGACTACTAGGAACAAGAAGCTAGTAGGGAGGGGTATTTATTTTTGGATTGTTGTTTCTTTTTTGGCTTTTTTTTGTTTTTCGTGGCTTCTGGCTTCTGGCTTCTGTGGCTTCTGGCTTTTGTGGCTTTTGGCTTTTGGCTTCTGTGGCTTCTGGCTTTTGTGGCTTTTGGCTTTCGTGGCTTTCGTGGCTTCTGTGGCTTTTGGCTTTTGTGGCTTTTGGCTTTTTGGCCTATCCATCTATCTGTCTATACCTATCTATTTATCTATCTATCTTTATTTCTTTTGGCAGCTGTTCTCCTTTCTCTTTTTGTATTTGCTTTTCCTGTTATTTTCGTTGCAGAGACGAAACCAAACAAGGAAGCAAGCAAGCAAGCAAGAGCTGCTCACCTTTGGATCTGGTGTGCTGCTGGGGGGGGGGCTCCCCGACACCCGCGCCTGCCACGAAATCAATATTTTAAGGTGAACTCCCCGGTGCAAAAAATTTTCTAACCAAGCAAATATGCCTCCTCTATCTATCTATCTAATCTTACCTTACCTTATCTAATCTAATCTAATCTAATCTATCTATCTATCAATGTATCTTTCTATCTTTCTGCAGTTCAACATCCACAAAGTACTGCACCTGCCACGAAATCTGCACTTCAAGGTCCACAAAGTCTTGCGTCTGCCACGAAATCTGCACTCCAAGGCCCACAAAGTCCTGCACCTGCCACCAACTCTACACTTCCACACCCACAAAGTCCTGCATCTGCCACGAAATCTGCACTTCAAGGTCCACAAAGTCCTGCGCCTGCCACAAAATCTGCACTCCAAGGGCCACAAAGTACTACACCTGCCACGAAATCTGCACTTCAAGGCCCACAAAAAGTCCTGCGCCTGCCACAAACTCTGCACTCCAAGGCCCACAAAGTCCTGCGCCTGCCACGAAATGTGCTTTGCAAGGTCCACAAAGTACTGCACCTGCCACGAAACACGAAAAACAAAACAAATTAAAAAAACGAAAAAAATCCAGAAATATGTTCGCAACCAGCTAGTAGTATCAAGTGCCTTACTACTAGGAACAAGCTGTATGTTTACCATCGCCACTAGGATGGGAGGCCATCGCTACTAGATTGGAGGCCATCGCTACTGGGATGGAGGCCGTCGTCGCTATGTGGTTGGAGGCCATCGCTATTAATGTTGGATCTTAATCTAGGGAGTCTGAAAAGTTGCACCCCCGCAAAAACCATTAGTAGCAGTCGTAGTAGTAGTCGTAGTCGTAGTAGTAGTAGCAGCAGCACTAGTAGTACCAAAAGAAAGTAAGGATTTGAAAGGGGCGGCAGTAGCAGAACAATAGACAAGTAAACAAAACCCAAGAAAAAACACCCTGGGTTAAAAAAACAGGACATGTGGACTTTCATTAGCTCTAATCTTCCAGGAGCATGCCCCCGACCACCCCCCCCAAAAAAAAAAGAAAATAGAAAAAAATCAGGACCAGGTCAACAAGGCCTATGTCACGAGTGTGTGCCAATGAAATTGTCCTGTATAACATTTGTACATGACTAAGGGCTTGCCCTGGGAAAGTTGTATGTCATTTCGACCCTTTTGGCCTAAGTCATCTCACCCTAGTATATATGTGTTAATATTCCGTCACATTAAACTAATCAGGGTGTGTGAAAAATGTTGCGAAAACTTTTTACTATTCCGTCCCACGTTACTAATTTGGATGCGACATTAGGTTAAAGGCCATCGCTACTGGGGTGGAGGCATGTGGAGGCCATCGCTCCTAGGTTGGAGGCCATCGCTACTACTAGGGTGGAGGCATGTGGAGGCTATGGCTCTTAGGTTGGAGGCCATCGCTCTCCATCGCTACTAGAGTGGAGGCACTCGCTACTAGGTTGGAGGCCAGCGCTATTAGGGTGGAGGCCATCGCTATTAGGTTGGAGGCCATCGCTATTAGGTTGGAGGCCATCGCTACTAGGGTGGAGGCCACTTCTATTAGGTTGAAGGAGGCCTTAAAGGAATTTCAAGGTGGGAATGGATGTCTATGGCGGGAACGTAAATGTAGGCGCACAGGGGAGAAGATGGAAGAATGGTAGACTAGGGGTTTGTTCAAAACCTTAGTTGACTTTGTTCAGCCTTCTGGTTTCCAGCCAGAACTTGCCAAGCTCGTTGTTGAGCAAGTCGGCAATTCACTAAGTGGTAAGCAATGCCGTGCAATAAGCAAGTACAACACTTGATGTGAATGAATTGTTCAGGTTTGCTCTTTCTAAGGATGGCTGCAGTGGTTGTCCGGCGGGACATTTCGCTTCACTTGGCATGGCGGAGTGTCAAACCTGTTCTCCGGGCACGTTCACAGCAACCAGCGGTGAGGTCGAATGCTCCGTTTGTCTTCCGGGCACCTTTGCCCCTCTCGAGAAATCTTCAAGCTGCCTACAGTGCGCTGAAGGCCAGGAGACTTTAGTTCTGTGCTGTTTGGTTCTTTGCAACAAGCAAAACGGGTGCGAAGGGATTTTGTTGACTGGTTCTGGTTGGCCTGGAGTAGGCAGCTATGCTGACCAGATGCAAGCCACAGAGTGCCGCAAATGTCCCAGAGGCACTTATGCGCCAACGTGTTCTGGATTAAGGCTGTTCTTTTCGGTGATTGGTTTTAGATTCAACATGACACTGCCATGGAACCGACTCTTTGTTTGTGGAGGCCATCGCTAGTAGGTTGAAAGCCATCGCTAGCAGGGCGGAGGCCATCGTTACTATAGGTTGAAAACCATCGCTACGGAACTGACGTTTTTTCTTTGAACATCGGCTTATTAAAAAAAAATACAACACACACATTAAAAGCCACTCCTCTCCAAGGAAGGGCTTGTCGCAATGCATTCCTTGTCCCGAAGACCGTGAGACCACCTTCGAGGCCGAAGACCTTTGGCACGAGACAAGAAACCCCATCGTCGCTGAAACCGTGCGTGCCAAGCTTCGACCAGCTGCATTCTCCATGTGGATAACGTATGGATAACAGCTCGGACAACATATGAGGAAACTGCATGCACAGAATCCTTACTTGGGAATGTTGCTTGGTTGATGGGAACAATGACGGCATTAGCTAGCACGCGGAAGGGTTAAGGGAGTTTCAGGATACGCGGACAAGGCAGCATGACTAGAGTATAGAATCAAGGACACTCAGAGGAGCTTGCGTTGGAGGCCATCGCTATTAGGTTGGAGGACATTGCTATTAGGAGCAAAGACACTTGGAGGAGCTAGCTTGGGACACCGGATGAGAAGATCGAATCGAACGCAGGGGGCCTCCGCTGAAGCGATGTGTGTTTGCAACTTTGGTCAACGCTTGGAGGGCGGTGCTTGCATCCCATGCCTAGCGAATCTCAGCGAGAACTCTTGTAACCTCAGGATCAGGAGCTAAACTTGTCCCAAGGCCTTAGCTGCCTTGGATCATTCCCACTGCTACCAAGGGCTAGATATGGGCTAGATTTACTTTCGAGGCATGCAACGCTTATTTCTTCGACTGCTAGCGTTGCGTTTAGATGGTCTTCTTCGCTCCTTCATCGACTCCACTGAATCCGACGCAATCCTAAGGACGGAGATTTGTCAGGGTGGCCTGGTTGTGGGCCACAGGCAAGACATGCATTCGACCTCACGGTTCAGAAATCTTGTGATTGGAAGCGTGTCTTCAGGCCATCGATGGAGGCTTGGAAGTCAACGTTAGATGCAGCAAAAAGCCAGGAAGCTTTGAGCGAAAAGTATCTCAGTCTTCAATTCAAAGGGCTTTGGAAGGACAACTTTGAGAAACTGCTTTTTTGGGACCAAAAACGGACCGGCCTTGTTTGTAGAAGTTCTTCGACTCAACAAACTTTTTCCGGAACTCAACGAACTGATCGCAATAACATGACATGTTGCGGACCGCGATGCTACTTGCACAACAGGTATTTAAAGGCCTGCAGGTATCGGTCTTAGGCGACCTGGATGTGCTGGGCCCAGATGTGCTGAGGATTGGAAAGGACTTTTTCTCCTTTGCCTTGGGCCTTTCCAGCAAGTCCAAGCTGGAGCTCACAGTTGGAACATATGAGGATGTCCTGACCGCGCTCATCAACGGAGATCAGAAGCAAAACATCATTGCGGCGCCTAATGAGGCCGTCTCTGTCGCCATATTGCGTGCTGAAATCATTTCGGAATTGTCAGGATGTGGCGCAAAAACTGGCAGCATCAAAGAAGATTTGGACTTTGATTGCATCCCTCATGGAGAGAATGGATCCACATGCAGTGGATTTGTCGTTAATTGAAGACGTTGCAGAGCAGACAACTGTGCTGAGGACCCAAGACAGGTAGAAGTCGGTAGAAGGTAGAAAGATGTAGAAAGCAAATGAAAGCGAGAAACATTTGTCGAGAAGAGACACATTTGTCGCATGATGACGGTGATGTCGCATGAATATTTTAATTCTTGGACACTCTTGCTCATCTTGCTTCTTTCAACTAAAAACAAAGCGTTCTACTTGCAACCAGAACCAGCTGGTGATAGCTGTGGCTTGTGCTAGTGAGTGACGTTATTACTACCCTAGTACCTAGAGAAGAAGGGGCTTCCAGTCAGAAGCTCAAGGCCTCCTTCACGTGGTGGAAAGCGTTACGAGATGACTAGGACCTAGGAGAAGCGACCAATAAACATACTAAAATCTAAAGGCATGCACAATTCTCTCTGTTTCAGCGAATTTCGTTCTCCAAGTTCTGCGCTAAGCTTTGAACCGTGCTGTCCGGGTCCGGAAGTGATGAGTTTAAACGCCGCCCGGGCGTCGTTGTGAGACGGCAAAACCACGAAGCCCCGGGAGATAGATAGATGGATAGATACTATAGATTCTAGATACTCCTTCCTAATTGCAATGACCTCCAACCTACTAGTGATGGCCTCCAACCTATTTGTGATGGCCTC